TAGTAGAGACGGGGTTTCACCATGTTGACCAGGATGGTCTCGATCTCTTGACCTTGTGATCCACCCGCCTCGGCCTCCCAAAGTGCTGGGATTACAGGCTTGAGCCACCGCGCCCGGCCCCAGGTTTCTTAATTCAGTATCTCCACTCAGATGTCTAATAACATCCCAAAGTTAACCTACCAGAACTGGGCCCCTGGTATTCTTCCTCCTTCTTGGTTTTTACTATCTTCCCTCATGTTAGCAAACCAGTACCTCCATTTTTCAGTTGCTTCGGCAAAAATCTTGTGGTTGTCCTTCACTTCTGTTAGTACAGATCCTGGGGGCTCTTTCTTGAAACTATATGCAGACTCTAACCGCTTGTGACTATCTCTCTCACTATTTCCTGCCCCAGTCCAGTCAGCCATTATGTCTCTCCTGTTAGAAGGACCTTCTCTTTCCTGCTTCAGTGTTTGCTGTCTTTAGTTACCACATCGAAGCCAGAGTGGCCCTGTTGAAAGATAAGGTAGATCATGTCATATCTTTGCTCAAACTGTGTGACGGCTTCCCATCCAACTCAGGGTAAAGCAGACCCTCTGTGTGCTAGTATAGTACCACTCTGACTTCATCTCCCACTATCTGCCCCAAGCTACTGTACTTTTCTACACTCATCTAATGGTTGTTTCTTGGACATACCAACTCACGTCTCTCCTCTGGGCTCTTCCATCTTCCTAGAATTCCTTTCTTTTTCCATATGAATGTTTGATGTATTCCCTACTTCCTTAATTTTCCACTTCTGAGGCCTTCCTTGATCTTTTATTTTTTTTAAGACAGAGGTTGTGTTACCCAGGCTGGAGTGCAGTGACATGATCTTGGCCCACTGCCACCTCCTCCTCTAGGGTTCAGGCACTTCTCATACCTTAGCCTCCCGAGTAGCCAGCTAGTGTGTGCCAGGCCCGGCTAATTTTTGTATTTTTAGTAGACATGGGGTTTTGCCATGTTGGCCAAGCTGGTGTTGAAGTATAAACCCTATTCCTCCCAACAGTGCTATCACCCTTAGCCTGCTCTATTTTTCTTTATAGCATATGTCACCATAAGACCTACTATTCTTCACAGAATTGTCTTTGTCCACAAGATTATAAAATCCATGAAGGCAGAGACTGCTTCATAGTGAAAACTAAAAATTTTTTTTTTTTTTCTTTAGCTGGCAGCCTGGCTAGAGAAAATTAAAATGTTAAATGAATTTATAGACATTAAAGGAAAGGCAAGTGGAATTTTGTTTTGTTTTGTTTTTGAGACAGGTTCTCTGTCTTCCAGGCTGGCATATACAGCAAATGGAATTTTTAAAGGTCACCTATTTAGCCTAAAGCTTCCCCCTTTATTTAATTGCCTGACAGCCTAGAAATGCTATCTGAGCCCTGACATAGTACTATAAAACTTCTTGTTTTACAAATCTCATCCAACTCTCCATTTCGTTGATGATGAAGTTAAGGTGTTAGCTATTGTCTCTGAAGTTATAGCCAGTTAATTAGTGGTACAGTTAAGACCAGAATCCAGATCTCTTCAATCTCAATTGCTTTTTTTTTTCCATTAGTTTCTTATAACCTTAATATGAGACCAAAGTTAGAGTGAGTTTCCTGTGGAAACAAAGGAGCTAAAACTATGTATCTCGGTAAGCAGAAAGTTGGACAGATTGGTGATATTTAAAGCAATAAAACCTGCTGATTGTTCAATTCAAACTCCCTCCCCCACTGGTCATTATAAATTTAAATTTATTTTAGTATGTTTATTGTGAAATAAACATTGAGGAATGTGTGTGTGTTTTAACCCTCAGGTGCACATGAACTTGAACAGATGCAGCTGATTTTAGAATCTATTCCTGTTGTACATGAGGAAGATCGTCAGGAGCTTCTCAGCGTAATTCCAGTTTACATTAGAAATGACATGACTGAGCCACACAAACCTTTAACTCAGCTGCTTCCAGGAATTAGTAGAGAAGGTATTGTGACTTGAGAGTAAACCTCACATTAATGCCTGTGTGTGAAGCAGAATCTGTGTAGGGAAGCTTGAGTTTTTCATCCATAGATATGGGCTTTCTCTCAAATAGCCTTTATGCACTTAAGGTATACCTGAAACTTTAACTCTCGTTTTCCCTTTTTTTGTCCTGATATTTAGGCTATGATCTGTTTCTTTATTTCTCTGAATCACTTTCCAGATTCCAGAAAGTTAAGCTGGGATGGAATTCTGTTATATGTTAAGTTATAATGGTATGGATATGACTTAGATGTGAAAGATAATTGAGTCCTGGGGAAAGCAACAAGGAAGAGGTGGAGGAAAGAGCAAAACCCAAGCAAAAATAGTGTATGTGACTCTGGATTAATCCCTAGGAGCAAAACATAAAAGAGTTTGTGGATCGGTGTTAACAGTGTTAGATACTAAATGTGAAGAATTATGCAAGCTTAGAAATATAGGAGGTTAGAATCAAAACTTTGTCAACCTTAAAGCAATAAATTTCATGTCTCAAAATGGAGTAGTAACATAGCTTTAGGATTTGTTGGTATAAATCAAAGTCTAACTTTTATAGTAGTTAAAATAGTATTTTTTTTTTTTTTTTTTTTTTTTTTTTTTTTTGGAGACAGAGTCTTGCTCTGTTGCATTCTTGCCTTACTGCAACCTCTGCTTCATGGGTTCAAACGATTCTACTGCCTCAGCCTCTCGAGTAGCTGGGACTATAGGCGAGTGCCACCAGGCTCAGCTAATTTTTGTATTTTTAATAGAGATGGGGTTTCACCATGTTGGCCAGGATGGTCTTGACCTCGTGATCTGTCTGCCTTGGCCTCCCAAAGTGCTGGGATTATGGGCATGAATCACCGTGCCCAGCCAACAAATTAACTGTGTAATTGTGTAGTCTATTTTTCCCCTTTATAAGATGGGGACTTCTATAGTACAATTAAGATGCTCAGTTCCTGTTGCATAGTATGAAGTGCTAAGGTAATCACTTAGCTAATCATTTAAATAAATGAAATCAACATTTGCTGTTTTTCTAAAGAGAAGCGATTCTTTTCTGAAAAACTTTTACCTTTCCTTCTGCAGCACTGGATTTCCTGGAACAAATTTTGACATTTAGCCCCATGGATCGGTTAACAGCAGAAGAAGCGCTCTCCCATCCTTACATGAGCATATATTCTTTTCCAATGGATGAGCCAATTTCAAGCCATCCTTTTCATATTGAAGATGAAGTTGATGATATTTTGCTTATGGATGAAACTCACAGTCACATTTATAACTGGGAAAGGTGAAATACTACTAAATTAGAAAAGTAATATTTACTGAACTTTCGGTGAACCAGATATAGTCAGTTTTTATTTTTAAATCCTATAGAAGACAAGGTAGAAGTCTTAAAAATTTAGTGATGTAAAAATACAAAAGTTAGCTGGGTGTGGTGGCAGGTGCCTGTAGTCCTAGCTAGCTACTTGGGAGGCTGAGGCAGAAAAATCGCTCGAACCCGGGACCCAGAGGCTGCTGAGATTGTGCCACTGCATTCCAGTCTGGGCAATAGAGCAAGACTTCATTCCAAAAAGAAAAATTTACTAATGGTCTCTAATAATATCCGTAAGTAGCTATTTTATTTATTTATTTTTTTAAGATGAGGTTTCACCATGATGGCCAGGCTGGTCTTGAACTCCTGACCTCAGGTGATCCACCCACCTCGGCCTCCCAAAGTGCTAGGATTACAGGCGTGAGCCACCGCACCCGGCCAGTAGCTATTTTAAATGTTTAATAAAGTAATTACTGCTCAGACCATACATAATGGGAAAAGTTAAATGCTACTTTGAAACATTTTCAGAGTCATTAAAGCATATTTAGTTAATAAAATTATAACGTCCTTTAACTGAAGGTTAGAAATTAATCATTTATGAATGTCAGAACAATTTAAGATGTTAGATGACAAGACTCATATCCAATAAAATATCTCCACTGTCTCAGTGGTATGTCTTAAGATAAAAAATATTTGACTCATATGTAGTATTTTAGTTGTTTTAAGATGGAGTCTCACTCTGTCACCCAGTCTGGAGTGCAGTGATGCGATCTCGGCTCACTGCAACCTCTGCGTCAGCCTTCTGAGTAGCTAGGATTACAGATGCCCGGCTAATTTATTGTATTTTTAGTACAGGTGGGGTTTCATTATGTTGACCAGGCTGGTCTCGAACTCCTGACATCAGGTGATCCGCCTGCCTCAGCCTTCCAGTGTTGGAATTACAGGTGTGAACCACGGCACTCAGCCAATAATTTGAATCTGTTTTCATAATGACAGAATTATTGTGAACACACTTAACATAGGTTCAGTAAAAGGGACTTTTATAGTCTAAACATTACAATGTTATCCATATTTTGATGTTTTATAAAGTGAAAGAATTGGATTTCTAAATTTTGGGGGGAAGTTTGGCCAGGTGCCGTGGCTCATGCTTGTAATCCCAGCACTTTGGGAGGCCCAGGTGGGCCAATTACTTGAGGTCAGGAGCTCGAGACCAGCCTGGTCAAAGTGGTGAGACCCCGTCTGTACTGAAAATAGGAAAATTAGCTGGGTGTGGTTGTGGGGGCCTGCTACTTGGGAGGCTGAGGCAGGAGAATTGCTGGAACCTGGGAGGGTGGCTATTGCAGGGAGCCGAGATGATGACACTGCACTCCAACCTGGGTGACAAAATGAGACTTCATTTGAAAAAAAAAATTTATGGGGAAGTTTAAACATAATTCTGCTTCAAAGTAGGATGGTAGCTTATCGAGTCATCAGGTGATTTTGATACATGGCCAGGTTTGGAAACCACTAATGCCAATCTTAAGATTTTAGGTCAGGCATGGTGGTTCACACCTGTAATCCCAGCACTTTGGGAGGCCGAGGCGGGCCGATCATGAGGTCAAGAGATCAAGACTATCCTGGCTAACATGGTAAAACCCCTTCTCTACCAAAAATTAGCTGGGCGTGGTGGTGCATGCCTGTAGTCCCAGCTACTTGGGAGGCTGAGGCAGGAGAATTGCTTGAACCCGGGAGGCGGAGTTGTAGTGAGCTGAGATCCTGCCACTGCACTCCAGCCTGGGCGACAGAGCAAGACTCTGTCTCAGAAAAAAAGAAGATTTAAAAAAATTCTTTTCCCCCTCCTCAAATGGTGAGATATTGGTATGTTTACACAAATTTGCAGACTACTTTGTTTTCCTCCATGGTTCTTTTCTGAGACAGTCTCACTCTTTCACCACGGCTGGAGTGCAGTGGCGCCATCTGTCTGCTCACTGCAGCCTCCCTGAGCCTCTCTAGTAGCTGGGACTACAGGCGCCCACCACTGCGTTAATTTTTTTTTGTTTGTTTTTTTTTTTTTTTGAGATGGAGTCTTACTCTGTCACCCAGGCTGGAGTGCAGTGGTGTAATCTCAGTTTGCTGCAACCTCAGCCTCCCTAGTGGCCGGGATTACAGGTACCTGCCACTAGGCCTAGCTAATTTTGCATTGTTTTAGTAGAGATGGGGTTTCACCATGTTGGCCAGGCTGGTTTTAAATTCCTAACCTCAAGTGGTCCACCCATGTTAGTCTTCCAAAGTGCTAGCATTGCAGGCATGAGCCACTGCACCAGGCCTGCATTTTCTATTCCCTCTTCCCTGTCCCCCAACCAATTTTTGTATATATCAGTGACTGTGCATGGTGGGGTCACTTTGCTGTCATGGGTCAGTAGTAGGATAGCACATTCGGTAACCTGTATACCCAGGGAGATTTTTGCTTTTCATGGTGATGAGTTTTTAGTGAACTTCCTCTTCTAGTTACCCTTACTGAGGAGTAAAAATTTGTAGGGTACTCAATTGAGATTCTGTATTTTGTGGCCATGAAAGTTTTTAGCTGCTTGAAACTGGCAGACAAAAACCAAACTGGAGATAAATGAGAATTGGTCTTATTTAAGAATGCAAGACTCAGTTCCTCATGAGGTTACAAACTTCATTGGCAGTTACCAAATATAGTAACAGAGCTTACCCCTCCAGACTAAGTTCTAGTAGGGCAAGGCAGGCATTTGGCTTTATTTTCCTATGATTATCCCCTCATAGACCTAGCACTGTGCTGTCACATAAAAGGTACTCGGTGAATTAGAAAATGAAATCAACCACATGGAGTAACACTAGTGTGTATTGATTTTTTTTCAGGTACCATGATTGTCAGTTTTCAGAGCATGATTGGCCTATACATAACAACTTTGATATTGATGAAGTTCAGCTTGATCCAAGAGCTTTGTCTGATGTCACTGATGAAGAGGAAGTACAAGTTGATCCCCGAAAATATTTGGATGGAGATCGGGAAAAGTATCTGGAAGATCCTGCTTTTGATACCAATTACTCTACTGAGCCTTGTTGGCAGTACCCAGATCATCATGAAAACAAATACTGTGACCTGGAGTGTAGCCATACTTGTAACTACAAAACGAGGTCATCATCATATTTAGATAACTTAGTTTGGAGAGAGAGTGAAGTTAACCATTACTATGAACCCAAGCTTATTATAGATCTTTCCAATTGGAAAGAACAAAGCAAAGAAAAATCTGATAAGAAAGGCAAATCAAAATGTGAAAGGAATGGATTGGTTAAAGCCCAGATAGCACTAGAGGAAGCATCCCAGCAACTGGCTGGAAAAGAAAGGGAAAAGAATCAGGGATTTGATTTTGATTCCTTTATTGCAGGAACTATTCAGCTTAGTTCCCAACATGAGCCTACTGATGTTGTTGATAAATTAAATGACTTGAATAGCTCAGTGTCCCAACTAGAGTTGAAAAGTTTGATATCAAAGTCAGTAAGCCAAGAAAAACAGGAAAAAGGAATGGCAAATTTGGCTCAGTTAGAAGCCTTGTACCAGTCTTCTTGGGATAGTCAGTTTGTGAGCGGTGGGGAGGACTGTTTTTTCATAAATCAGTTTTGTGAGGTAAGGAAGGATGAACAACTTGAGAAGGAAAACACTTACACTAGTTACCTGGACAAGTTCTTTAGCAGGAAAGAAGATACTGAAATGCTAGAAATGGAGCCCACAGAGGATGGGAAGCTTGGGGAGAGAGGAAATGAGGAAGGATTTCTGAACAACAGTGGGGAGTTCCTCTTTAACAAGCAGCTCGAGTCCATAGGCATCCCGCAGTTTCACAGCCCAGTCGGGTCACCACTCAAGTCCATACAGGCCACCTTAACACCTTCTGCTATGAAATCTTCCCCTCAGATTCCTCACAAAACATACAGCAGCATTCTGAAACATCTGAACTAAAACACTCAGCAGACACTTATCTTTGTATTCTTCATGAAATGTGTGTTTGTCTTTTTTTATTACTAGTGTTTAAGTCATTTTTTACTTGAATCAGATGGTGTCATTTAGTAAGAATTTTATTAGTTCTTGGTTTTTAAAATCCAGACTTTCTTTTTCTACATGTGAGATAGTTTTCATTTTAACTGGCATGTCATTTGCACACAAAAATAAAGACTAGAGTAAAATAATGCAACGCAGGAGGAGACAAAAGCAATGCACTAAGACAAAGAACATTCTCTCATAGAACAGTGATCTGTTTTACAGGAAACAAACCTTGCCTTGAAAATTACACAGTGAGACTGTACATAATTGCATGAAAATATCTATTTTTTTCCTAAGACATTTTTCATTCATGAGTATTTTCAAGTTTTTCATACTGTACACATTTCTTAAAACACATGATACCAGCAGCAACTGAAAATGAATGCCGAATTTGGTACACATGTGTTATCTACCTCAAGGTAACAAAAGTATGTGGCAAAACATATACCACCCATAGTGCTTCACAATATGCACTTCTATTTAGCCAGCGTTTATTGTAGTAAACTATTCTTAATAAGACTCATTCATTGTTTATAAATGTTCTGGTATGCATTCTTTATAGTGAAGTGTTAATACATCACATCTTATTTATTTTAGCAAATCAGTATATTTTCTGTATTTAATTATAAAAATTAACTTAGTTTTTAAAATTTATTTGCAAATACACTTTTTCCATTTGGCACTATGGTTTGTTGCCTACCTAGCTGAATATATTATGTCAGCTTATCCCAAGGCTGTCCACGTACTTAATTTACTTAAGTGTTCATTTTAAGTAACGTGCTCACTGTGTATAGGAATTTGTATTTTGGAGGTGCTTGATCTATCTACAAAGAAAAATTAATTAGGAATTACTTTATTATAAAATGCTCCTAGAAGTCTTAATTGTGTTTATTTTTTAAAAAAAACGAATGTTAGACTTGTGTGCATGGAAGTAATTAAGGTACATCATTGTAGTTTAAAAGTTGTACATGATATAAGACATTTTGTTTTTACTGTATGTTTTTACTGAATGATCTATTCCCCATCCCAAGGCAAGCATGAATAAAATTAGGTTAAACGTAGCATGTGGCATCGCAGTCTCTTAGAATTTGTTTCATCTATTTTATTTTATTGAATACTGTCTGTATCTTTGGTTATCTTGTTTGAAGAAAAAGGACAAATAAAACATGGCCAGCAAACACGGCTCCTGTTTCACTCTTGGGTTAATGAAAATTTTCTGCTAGAATGAAAATTACTACCAGAATCACTTTGAATTATGGCCATAGTTAAATAGCTAGTCTGAAAGGCTGACAAGATTTCAAGTCTTTTGACTTTAACCATCACACATTACAATGGAATAAGGCTTTATACATTTCAAAACTGTTAGGTAAGACGTGTGTCGAAGCTTTGAACTGCCGTCAGAAAACTTGAGAAGTATTTGCTCCATGATACATCTTTCGTTTGCTTAGGAACTTAACCTTTTACTTATCCAGCTATAAAACCATCCTCCTTTTCACCTCACTTTTCAGTGTGTCTTTCATCCTTGTTTTATACAACACCAATTCTGTTAGTATCCGCCCGCCTACCTTCCCAACAATGGACTTCATCTGGATTCACAAAGCTTTTAAGATATATATTTTTTCTGCTTGAGTGCTGTTACGTTAAGACTTTAAACACATGCACAGATTACCTTAAAAGGACAAGCTCTGAAATGCAGTCATGAGAATTTGTTTGTAGAAAAAAATGGGACCCTTATAGTTGGAGCTGGGTGGGGTGATAAGTGCAGAGGCTTTGAGTGTCATGACAGCATGAGATGGACAGGAGGCGAAGGAAGCAATGGGCAGCAGACATTTGTCCCTGATCCTCCATTAGGACTTTTTTTTTTGGGGGGGTGGGGGTTGGGAAATAAATGTTTGAGAATAATTAGCTTCGAATGTAAAATGCTGTCTTGGCTGGAGGAGGCCTAGGATTTTTCTTACTCAGAAACTTGCTCCTGGACTTAATCTGTATTTGTTACTGTCACTTTCGCAGTTTAGTGGCTATCTACACAATGGTCTATTGTTGGCGTTAAAAAGTGAAAACAGGCTGGGCTCTGTGGCTCACGCCTGTAATCCCAGCACTTTGGGAGGTCAAGGTGGGCGGATCACAAGGTCAAAAGATCAAGACCATCCTGACAAACATGGTGAAACCCTGTATCTACTAAAACACAGCTGGGAGTGGTGGCGCGCACCTGTAGTCCCAGCTACTCGGGAGGCCGAGGCAGGACAATTGTTTGAACCCAGGAGGTGGAGGTTGCAGTGAGCCGAGATCACACCACTGCACTCCAGCCTGGTGACAAGAGAGCGAGACTCTTTCAAAAAAAAAAAAAAAGTCAAAACATAGTCATCAAAGTAAGTAAAACGTTGAAATCCCTTATATAAAATATGTTTGCTTTAGGGTGACCCAGGCTGGGTATTAACTTGTAAAGTCAATTTCCAATTAAAAACTATATGTGCCATTTACTTTTTCCCCACCTGTAATCAAAGTATCTTTATAGGGTAATGAAGATGAAACAGAAGTTTTGCTCTGCCACCCAGGCTGAAGTGCAAAGGCATGATCACAGCTCACCACAGCCCCGAACCTAGGCTAGAGTGATCATCCCACATCAGCCTCTTGAGTAGCTAGGAGCAGCTGGCATATTTGTCAAAGATCACTTGGCCATATACGCGAGGATTTCTTTCTGGGTTCTCTGTTATACAATGTCCCTGTTTGTCTCTTATGACAGTTTTTGACAGTGGTTTTTTCCTGTGAGACAGGGTCTTACTCCATGGCCCAGGCTGGAGTGCAGTGACATGGTCACAGCTCACTGTCACCTTGACCTCCCGGGCTCAGACAATCTTGCCTAAGCTTCCTGCGTAACTGGAGCTACAGGCATGAGCCAACATGCCCAGCTAGTTTTTAAATTTTTTCATAGTACTTTAAACTTTTTTTTTTTTTTTTTTTTTTTAAGAGACAGGGTCTCCGGAGCCATGTCACCCAGGCTGGTCTTGAACTCCTGGGCTCAAGCCATCGTCCTTCCTTCGCCTCCCTGTGTGCTGGAATTAGAGATGTGAGCCACTGTGCTGGACTGTAAAGCATTTTTTCCGACATGAGTATGGCCACCCCTGGTGTTTTTATCATTTGCCTGATAGCTTTAGCTTTAACTGCTATGCCACAATGTATTTTGTTAAATGACATCTTCCAAAATTGTGCTTCTACCAATATCTTTGCAGTGAGAATTCTTGTGAACATGTGTAAGAATGTCTTTACGGCAGATACCTAGGAGTGGAGTTGCTATATATCTTCAAGTCTATGAAGATGCCATATCCAAATCCAAAAGTGATTGTACTGACTCACATTTCTGCCAGCAATGCACAAGAGTTCCTATTCACCCACATGCTTCCAAACAAGAAACCAACTTTCTTCCATTGAATCAATCCTACCAGTTTTGCAATGTTCAGTTTAACTCCAGCAGGAATCAGGATTTCTAATTCCAAGCAACTGCATGGCAGGAAATTGTGACTACACCTGAGAGATCCTTATGTAGCCGCTTCAATATGAGATTGCCTTGTATCTCATTTCCTATTGCTTCAGCCACTGCAGCCTGGGAACAGAGAGCTTGAATCTTAAAGGCTGAGCCAATTATGTAATTTACACAAGGGCCCATATCTAGGCAGTAGAAGCAGAGCATGAATCAAATAGGGTTTTCAAATAAAATCCGAGCAAGTATTACCTTTGCTTCTCAGTTAAAAAACCTGCGTAGCATTGCTTATGAAATTATCATTTTATTTGCAAGTAGTGTTTTCCATTCGATGCTTTGGTGTTTTTTTTTATTTTATTTTTAATTTTTGAGATAGAGTTTTGCTCTTGTCGCCCAGGCTGGAGTGATGGTGCTATCTCGGCTCACTACAACCTCCGCCTCCCAGGTTCAAGCAATTCTCCTGCCTCAGCCTCCCAAGTAGCTGGGATTAAAGGCATCCACCACCACGCCCAGCTAATTTTGTATTTTCAGTAGAGACAGGGTTTCTCCATGTTGGTCAGGCTGATCTCGAACTCCTGACCTCAAGTGATCTACCCACCTTGGCCTCCCAAAGTGCTGGGATTACAGGTGTGAGCCACTGTGCCTGGCCTGATGTGTTTTATATAGAGCACAGTTAGTGGTCTACTCAGCAAGTGGACAGTTGTCTGAACCAGTGACCTGCTCCCAGCCTTTTCATTACCTGCTTACTATTGATTAAAAACCAATAGAGGCTCCACCCTAAGTAGGTCCATCATGTATGTCATATTAGTCAATTGTAGTTTTACCTGAAGTGTGTCCACGTGAGCACTGTTTATAATAAATATCATTTAGATCCTAGCACCTTCTGAGTAGAGAAGACGACTGAATTGGAAATCAGGATATCTGAGTTCTGGACCCAGTTTTACCACTGACTCCATCACTTGGGTGTCACCATCTTGGTGAGCCTACGTTCCTTATTAAACTACAAGATGCGTATTACTCGAGCCTGACCTGGAACAACTTCAGTACCAGACCTTGTCTTATTGAATTCTAACCCATTATAATAGCATAGCGATTAGCTCTTGCCAGAATGTGCTTGCTTATAGATCTTCTATAATATCTTTATTGAACTGGGAGCATTAAATGTACCTTTTCAGCAGATTGAGAATGAAATTTTGTGATCAGTGCACCCTTACCAGTTGACAAGTAGCGAAAAAGGCACCAGTATTGGAACTCCACGGTTGTTTGCCTTTGAAAGAGCAAAGCTCACTAAGTTCTTTTCTAGAGGATCTAGGGCAGTCTCCTTAATTAAGCCAGGTGAAGAGAAGGATCTTTGTGAGCTCTTCCAACAAAGATTCCGACATCTGCATGACAAATATCTTACAGAAGGGAAGGGTGTTTGACCATCCACGTTACAGCACTGTTGCAGTTATAATGCAGAGGCCAAACAATGAAATTCTACCGGATTTGCATGTTTATCTTAGTATAATACAGTGGGAGTGTTACAAACCTAGCTAAGCACAAGACTGACTTTCCATTACAATCGTCTGCCTCTGCAACACCTTGCCTCATTAAGTCTTAGTGCTGCTGTAGTTGGGTGAGTGGGAATGCTGGTGCCAGATCTGAGATGCTGCTCCTGGGCTCCTGGTTCAAAGTCCAGTCCAAGTCTGTTTCTTCCTGCCTAATGTAAACCACAAACTTGGATCCATGTCTGTACGTTTAGACTCTGCTTCCACCTGGACTTAGAAACCCACACCCTCCTGACTTCAACCTCTGAGGCAACCTCAGCTGCCAGCTGGGACACTGACCCTAGCAGCACTGGATAATGGTCAGGCATGCTTCAGAGTCAGATCCAAACAGACCTTCAAAGAGTTCTCGTGCTTGCCAGCCTTGTGGCCTTGCAGAGGTCATTCGACCTTTTGATTTTCCTCATTTGTCAGGTAGAGCTAATGATACCTAATTCATAGAATTGTAAGAATTCAATGAGCTACTGTACACAAAGCCTTTTTAGCATGATGTCTGGTACTTAATAAATCACCATTGCCCTTGTCCTGTTTGAATTACTTCCCGTGCCACCCAAATTGTACTGAACACTGGATTCTGACCTTGACCCTGCCTCCAGTATTGCATTCTCCTATCAATCCAAACTTTTGGCTTTGACCTACAGCAGGGTTCTTGCTCTAGCCATAATGCCCATCAGCTCTAACCAACTTTTGGATCTAGCTTCTGGTCCTTTCTCACCAGCCAAACGCTTGCCCAAATGAATTTAATATAGCAGCTCTCAGATTCCTAAAGACAAGACTGAGCCCATCTGCACTGCTTCCCCCACCCTACCCCCCAGAACAAGCATCTTCATTTAGAAGCCAAAAGCCTTGGAGACATTTTACACTCCTTTCTCTGAAAACCCACATCTGCTCCATCAATGAATCCCATGGCCATGTCCAGAATCTGAGCAGTTTTCACCATCTCCATCACTGCCTTGTGGCCCAGCACCGCCTCCCCGCCTGCTGCACCATGCCAGTAGCCTCCTAACTGGCCACTCTGCAGTTTCCAGGCAGTCCCGCAGGGTGATCCTTGTAAATCCTAAGTCAGACCACAACACTCCTCTAGTTTCTCAAAATTTGAATGACTCCCCTCCTGAGGGTAAATACCAAGGTCTTTACCGAGGCTCACAAGGCACCTCTC